GGCTCACATAGCAACGGCGGAGGGTGGAGGCATGACGTCGACATGTCACAACTCACAAGGCCGGAGGCTCAACGTTGACTGCAAAATTGGAGGAAGATAGGGATTTTTTGCTTTGTTTGATTTTTGCAAAATTTGTATGGATTTAGAGTAGCAGCTTAATTGGAATCATGTCCATAGCCTGACCTGGATAAGGGCCTAATTTAAAAAAAGAAAAGCCCACAAGTTAAAAAAAATGTGGCTTCCTCTCTTTCCTTCAACTTCCTAGGCAACTGCAACAATGGCGGGGTTGCGTACAACGATTCCAACCTGTAAATTCCGGTAGATTCAGCACGGGCGGCCACGCCACCTCGTAGGGTGCTGGATCCACCACTTATATTACTGCCGTACTTATTACTCTAATAAACATGCCATTAAGGCGTGATAATTGAGTTCCTTCTTCACAAAATATGCTTCGCAAATAAACTAAGTTAAATAAATTGTTCTATGTTTGTTCACGAAAAACATAAACTACTTCAAAGAAGGAACTAACACATAGTGATTTAATTTTTATTCATGTAGATTCCGTAATTTCTCTTTGTTTCACTTCAAACATACGAGTGTTACATTCAATTATAATAATTCTAGAGTGGTGCCTATGGGATCGGTGCGATATGTATAAACAAATGGAAATAATTATTCAAATGATGAATAGGGGAAACATGAGCTAGCATATTTTGGAAAGAGGACATTTATTTAAATTTAGTTTTCAATAATATGGAGAGGTTAATGACCGAAAGAAAGATAAATATCTCTGAAAGCAAAGGCCTATATAAAAGTTATTATTTTTGAATTAGCTAGTAGACACAAAATTGCACTAATGAATTATCAATATAATAAAATTGCACTAATGAATTATCAAAGAAATTAAGAGATAAAATCAACAAATTTAAATGCATATCTCATCAAATGGAAAATAATGGTTTACCTCTCCATTTTTTTTCATAATACAGTAATCCATTTTTTATACAATAACAATATGGAAACGGAATATAGGAACGACTTATACAATATGATAAAATATTAAAGTAAAGCCAAGTTTCTACAAACGCTGTAAGGATCCAATTTTTCCTAATTTTTTTCGGCAGTTTTAATTTATATCAAATTTAGACTTTCTAATTCACGTGCAATTAAAATGTGTGATAACAAATAAAAAAATGAGCTTTGAATATAAGTACGGAATGTCTTTCATAACTAAATTTTTTTTTATAAAGAGGCAATGTTCAATGGATCTTATCTTCACAAATCGATAACTAATTTCTATGATTAATTAAACTCCAGTTTGCCTTTAATCATATTCTATACCAGCAAGACAAATTCATGCCGGTTTCATATTTGGTTGAAGAAAGTCTTTCAGTATTAAAAATGTTTCCATTAGATTAAATGATTAATTAAAGAAGGCTCCTTGTTTCTTCTCTTCACTCAATTATTTATCTGCCAGATTAGATATCCATTTCGTAGGTTGTTTCGTACGTTGACAATGCAAAAAAATTCTATGAAAAAACCTTGATAACCAGTGTTTCTCAGCTTCTGTAATATACATAATGAGTGAACTTGTTTCAAACATCTTCAGACACAAAAGAGAGTGAGATATCAGTTCTAGAAAATGGTGAAGCCCTCTTCAGTTGACAGTAAAGGAGTGAAGAAAGGTGCGTGGAGTGAAGAAGAAGATAACAAGTTGAGAGCATGCATTCAGAGATACGGCCATTGGAATTGGAGATTGCTGCCTAAATATGCTGGTGAGAATGCTTGAGTTTACTCCTCCTTTAATAATTGTGTACTGAAAATTTCATTACTTTTTGTTTTATGATTACTTCAATCTAGATTTAAAAATGTGAAGTATGCATCCCGGTAAACAGAAGATAATCCCTAATTTCTGTCAAACTCCTTATTAGAACGGTTTAAATTATAAAAAAAATAGAAAGAATAATGCATAAGTAGTTAGTACATGTGGATCCTCGAAATGTGCAAGTAAAAAGTAAGTTTTGAGTGTTTATAAAAAAATTGTAAATAGGGGTGGGCAAAAAAATTGAAAAACTGATTAAATCGACCGAACCAAATCGAGTCGAGTCGGGTCAGTTTGGGTTGGTTTGAACCAAAAAATCGGTTTGGTTCGGTAAATTTTAACCATTATAAAGTCGGGTTGGTTGCAGG